CTGATGTGTAAATTGAATGTTATAACCATAGAGACTCAGCTGTGGTAGGACCACGCAACAGTATTCGCTGTTGCACGAATGGGCAGGTCCGTCCGGGTTAGTACCACTACCTCACAGAAGACCGGCGTAAAGTAGAAGTGTTATTCTTCTACATTTCGTCTAGTGAGTGTGGTAGCCGGGGCCCACCTTATTAAAAGGTCGCAACACATCTTCAACCGGTGTTGTAAATGTCCGTGGGCGGCGGTTATCACTTAACATTAGGTGAACCGCTAGGTCGTTTGCCACTTTTTCAAATAAAAAAAAAAACGGAGAAAGAGATCTTTTATGAATATACGCTCTAGAGAGCTCACGCACTACTTCGATATTGATTGATCCGGCCTCCCTGAATTTTTTAATTAATCTTTGCACAGTTGAGGTTGTTAACTTGATGAGGTTAAAAAACTGTTTTGAATAAAATTTTGTCGCGTAACATTTATTGTTTTTGAAACATTGTTCAGTAATGAAAACACGCTTTGTATCGCACAATGCTCCATTACGGAAGAAAACAAGTTCTTATAGTGATCTTATGTGATTTTACTCCTCCAGTTATTCACCTATCACCAAACCGTTTTTTACATTAAGAAATCCTTCATAGGTCCTCAGGTGGTTAAAATAAATGAATAATTTCTTAAATAATGTTTCCTTTCACTGCACATCAAATACAAATTTCAATGCAAGGTAGGTGTAATCGCCAAAAACACCGAAATCTTGTATCAACCGCTTCCCATACCATTCGATGAAAGTAATTAAGTGCTTAACAATACCGGGCGAACAGCTTGCGACGTATACGACGATTCGAGTTTACTTTGGAAATGATTGAAGACTGCGCCATACTAATCTGTTATAGCAACCTTGCAAGCTGTAGCAATCTATTGTTAAAATACGCTTAGGCTCTTCGTTGTCTTTTAGCATATTATTTATCGATGACAGACTGTTATTTTTTCTTTTAATAAGTTGCATTACTTTTTTATTACTTTCAGTCCATTCTGTTTTGCTTGGTTCTGGGCCCACTCACCGAGGCTTTTGTGTATTAACGTAATTTACAGATAGAAGAGCCCACAAAAGATATGAATTCATACAATTCTTCAAGTTCTTCAGAAATTTATTTTATTTTTATTAATTATTACTACAAAGTCCAATTTTAGTCCTTCTTTTATTCGTTAAAAAAAATTTATAACTCAAATAATTCAATTTCTAGACACAAATGTTTAAATGGGAAAATAAATAAGTCTGACAAAATTATAAAACCAATTAGGTACTGATTGTCCGTCCAATTATCGGTAGGTAACAATTCAACATATGAACTCAATTACTTGGAGAACACACCGAGGATATGTTATTAGATCCCTTATTCGCTTATTAGAAAACTCGATATGGTACCAGAAATAAATAAAGATAAAGGTACAACTAGAAATGTTATTCCATTTTGTTTAATTATATTATAATCTAAGCAATTATGTTTCATGTAGCATCATCTAATATTTATATAATGTTTGCTTATATACAACATAATATTTGCTTCCGCCTATCTCTCGCTTACCAAAACTGTCACCAATTAAGACAGCATTTTGCACCTACGACTGCCGGCTGATTGTACTAGACACAATATAACAATAAACATTAAATGACTTTAACACCCATGTCAAAAATGTCTTTTGTAATTGTCTAGGTTTTGAGGGCATTTAAGGTTAGTTGAAGGTTGAACCAAGATAGCAGCTAGAACTTGATTGCAGGATGAAAACAAGGTCAAAGTGCGCAAAGAGCTTAACTCGGCGCAAAGAGGCTTCGTGCAGGCGATAATAACTCGGTGACTTTCCATCTTAATATTCAGTAATCGGCCTCTTATATAAGATAAAAATAGGTTGTTCCCGTGACCTGGAAGTAAAGGCATCAATTTGAAAAAAGAAATAGCGCAGTAAGCAAATATAAAAATAATTATGTAAGAATGGAGAAAAGGTAGATAAAAATTGCACCAAACCGTGTTTTTTTAAGAACGTTATAGAGCAAGAGTCCAGGGCCGCCAGACGTTACTTATTTTCTGAGTAACAAAATATATCGTACAGAGTAGAAGGTAGTAAAAAGGATGGATACGACTTCAATTTGTGCTCTCGATGGCGAATTGATACTTGGGTCGTTCTCAATACTACAGCTACAATAGTTTTTTTCGATGCGTACTGTATGACGTCTCTTAGGATACTATTTATCATTTAGACTATATTTGATGCGAAAATAACCTGTGGTAACGGAGTCAGATGGACGAATGTGTCCACCGTAAAATGGACGTAGCACATGGTAACATAAACGAACTGAACCTTTTTGAATTTACACATTTTGCAGCGTTGTGATGGCCTTAATCTGTCTAATGGCAAACAAAAATGATAATATGTTTGGCATTTCTGACAACCATAGGACAGTTTACAGTAAAACATCTTAAGGACAGAGAACAGCATTATAAAAATGAAAATCTATTAAAAATATTTCATATCCTTTAAATTATAATTTTTGATTGTAGTTATATTTTACCAATAGCAGAATTCCCAGCGTTTAAACATTTAGATAGAACAAACGCGAATGTAGATGAAAAATGTGAATATGCAAATTAAGCCAGTCGATTTGCATGCGCAAGCCAATTGGTCGTATTCCCCGAATTTTGTGACTTTGTCCGATCTCCAATATTCCGAAAAATTTAAATCGTAGTTAACTAGAGATGGAACCAAATAGAAATTAACATAAAGGTAATATTATGATTCATTTCGCAGCAAAATGACTTTAATTAGACATGTAGCTTCTTTTGAAAAAATTACATGATCATTAAAAAAAGATTTGTACTGTATTAATTAGTGTTTCTTTTATAATTGCTTTTATTTGCAGAAAGAACGAATAAGAAGTTATACGTCTTTAACTTATTACGTGCCTTTATTCTATTGATAACGGCTGAAGTAAATAACTTGGAATTTATGAAAATGTTAAAAGTTTTTATTGGCTGTCATGTCATGGTAATATCGTGAAATCGGTCGCGTTGCAACTTACTTCATCATGTCGCTTAAAGATCGTCGGTGACGCACACCGCATCGCCAAAATGTTACTCTCATTTTTTTCCAAATACACCAAAACGAGTATTATTTCAAAAATATTGACATTTTTTTACATTAAGGAGCTTTTTAATTATTTTTGTACCTATACCGACTTCCCTAAATACGTGAAATATATATTTATTGTCAAATGTGCAAAACCCCGTGCAAAAAAAAATTCTACAGTTTATTGATGTGGTTTAGTGATTAGCACTTTAATCAAGTGTCCCGATATTGGTTTACTATTTATCACTTTTGGAACTGAATGAGCTTAGGGAAATGTGAATAGCACTAATCTCTACTCGGATTTAAAATATGAAATAAATCCTGGGCTTAAAACATGAATAAAGAGGTAGCATATAAAAAAATTATTTTATTGCGTCTAATTTTATATTCATTAAATAAAACGGACTTCTATCATATTATGTCTTATGGATTGTGTTTATTTTATCACTTTTAAATCTTTTATAAATTAATTTTATACGAGTTATGTGCAGTTTCATAAAAGTGTCCGTTTTATGATAACATTTTCAACAGACATCTATAAACTGAATTCTCACGTGGCTGGTATAAATAACAATGAATATTTTAAAAGGTATAAAATAAAAAAAATACTGTATACCTAAACGTTAAAACTTCTATTGATGAAATTACTAAAGGTCATTTTAATAAGATCATTGAACATTTAAGTAAGTAAATTTTTTTCTAAATAACATTTGATGTGTGTATAAGATTATAGTATTTAATAACGAAGAGAAAAGAAAATTGTAATAATTTCGTGCTCAGTAAAATATTTCCAATTTATACTAGTTCTTCAGTCGCATGCTTCTTTCGAACATATTTTCAAAGAACGTAATTCATCCTTTAACATTGGTTCCAACTTAACATAGACCTCGACGGAATGAGAAAAGCTTTTATATAAAGTAAGAGAAAATGTATTTTATATTTAGTAGAACAATTAGATTATGAAAATAATATAATTTAATATTTGGCCTTAAGAGTTTATGGTTTCCAAATTTTATTTAATACTAGCTGTGCCCGCAACATCGTCCGCGTGGAATTTAAAATAAAAAAAAATTCTAAAATCAAAGTAGCCTAAGTTACTCCTTACTACATCAGCTATCTGTCATTGAAAGTCCGGTCCAGCCGTTTTAGAGATTAGCCGGAACAAACAGACAGACAGACAAACAAAAATTGTAAAATATGTTGTTTTGGTGTTTGTAGTATGGTTATGTGGTTCGGGTGGAACATCTTTAGAGAGTCATACGAAGTTAATGTAGTGATAGAAAACGAGTATCTGACTTTTATTTACATTTAGTTTTATATGATACCTAGAAGAGCATACTGAGCATGCCGATAAATGTTAAAACTTATAACAAAATCATATGAAATATTTGGTTCACAAAATGCCACATCTTTTTAATAAAGTTATAAGGGCTGGTGGAAGAAATAACAAAGCATTATTTTTTTTATAAACTTCTAAAATATATAATATATAAGAGAGCCGTGATAGCTCAGTGTCCGGGCGCTCGCCTTTAATTCAATATACTCGAGAAACCTGAGTTCGATCCCCGGTGCCGGCACCAATGAAGTTCTTAACTTTAGGTGCTGACTTATCAAGTGCTCCGCGGTGAAGGAAAACATCTATATTTTCGAAATAGTAACAAAAAATATATATATTTCGAAGATATGTGAAGTCCGCCAATCCGCAGTGGGGCCGCGTGGTGGATTATGCCATGATACCCTCTGTATAGTGAAGGCCTTTAGCCAGCAGTGGGACATGTATAGGCTGTTAAAATTAAAATGGATACACTTAGAAAAGCCTCCCTGTATACCTATTTATACTTATAAATATGCTATATTTTAGAGCACATTTATTAGGTAACTTTAAATTTTATAGTCTTCATAGCTGCAAGCATATAAGGCTAGGGTAAATAGTTATTAAGAGCACAATTTAAAGAAGCATAAGATGTACTCTTTTGAAAAACCAGAGACCACGAAAATGAGAGTAAGGGAAGACCTAATAATACTAAAGACCTAATAGTTAATACAAGAAGAATAATCAAAGGCAATTAGACGAGTACATTTTAATGAAGACTGAATATGTACTTGGTTCCCTTATGCTATACTTGTTCCATTATGATCATTAATTAGATAACGCAGTGTCGAAAGTTTTTTTTTTTTTTTTCATTTATCTATAAAAAAATTATAACTTAAACTTCTTTCATTATAAAAATACTTAAAATTAAATTAATTTAATGAAAGTAAATGAATCAACATAGTACCACATGCATAACAACAATCCAGAAACTTTAGGGAAATTTCTTGCGATCATTTATCGTTGGGCGGCATGTTCGGTTAAACATATTACGGCAAGTCACAGCTATTACTCACAGCTCATGTGACGAAGGGCTTTGATGTCAACATTGAAATCCCATGAAAGGAGAAAACTTAATGGCCACATATTTTTTCCACCTTTCGTGTCAAGTATGTGTAAATAGATCTTTTTATGTAGGACACTTGCGTTTTTCGACTGTGATTCGTCTACATGAAAATATTAAACGTTTCATATGATTTACATAGTAGGTACTCAAAAATATATATGCTTTAAATATTTCCGAAATTGTAGACGGAGTTTGCATACATTGTATAGCGCCAAAGTACTACTTGTTGATGTCTGCTAATAATATTAATGACATAATTTTTGGGGATATTTCTTTGTTTTCTCGTCTGGTTGGGTTTATAAATAAAAATAAAAATATAGATATATATATTGCATATATAAAATAAATATTATGGATAAAAATAAACATATATATATATATATATATATATATATTTTATATAATACATATATAAATAGGACCCAATTATAATACATATATAAAGGGAGAGAAACCGGCGGACGATGCGGGCGGTATCGAGGAGCACCGCCTTCTGCATTTGAGCTTGGAGCGATCCGTCCCGGAGTCCCAGTCGCCTCAGATGTTTAGAGAGGCTGATTGGGATTAACCCATTGGCAGAAACGACTATCGGGATAATTTCGGTCGGCACACCACCCCACATGTCGGTCACCTCGTGAGCCAGGTCCAGATACTTTGTCTTCTTATCTGTTTCGGCTTTCACGAGGTTTTCGTCATATGGAATGGTAATGTCGACCAAAAATACCCGCGACTGTGCCCGGTCCATCACCACGATATCAGGTTTGTTCGCGACAATCGTCCTGTCCGTGATGGTGGGCCGATCCCAATAGAGCCTGGCGCGGTCATTTTCGAGCACGGCCCCCGGAGAGTACTTGTAGTACGGCAGTTTTCGATCCACGAGGCCGTATTTCAGAGCGAGCTCCTGGTGTAGGATTCTGGCTACTAGGTTGTGTCTATGCAGATACTCAGAGTTAGAAAGCATGGAACAACCGGAGATAACATGCCGAAGCGACTCCCCGGGATGGCGACAAGCTCGACAGATGTCGACGGTGCCAACCTTTAGGATGTATCTCCTATAGTTGTTCGTCTTAATAACCTGATCTGTATAGCACAGACAAAACCTTCGGTTTCCCCAAAGAGGTCACCGAAACGTAGCCAGTTAGAGCCAGAGTATCTACAAAAGGCTCGTGTAGAGCCTTGTAGAACCTCCCGTGGAGCTCTTTCTCCTTCCATACGGCCTCCCGGTCGAAAACGCTCAGTACTCCCGGGTCCTGCCATTGATCGTTGGCTAAGGATAGAGGGGTAAGTCCTTCATCACAACTAATGACGTCCGTGTAGATCGACTCATCCGATCTCGCCAGAAAGTAGTTACGGAGGCTGCACACCTCGCGATTGTGCATGGTGAGGGCGCTTAAAAAGCCCCTCCCACCATGCTTCCGCGGCAGGTACAGTCTCATCACTGACGATCTCGGATGGTGCATTCTGTGGGACGTCATAGTTGTGCGGACTTTTCGATCCAGGGCGTTGAGCTTAGTTTGAGTCCACCTGAGTATGCCAAAGGTATAAATGAGGACTGGCATAACCCAGCCGTTAAATGCGCGTGCCTTGTTCACGCCTGACAAATGGCTGTTAAACACCTTTGTCAGGCGTGCTAAAAACACGTCACGAACTGACTGTTTCATGCCAGCCTCATCGATACACATGTTTTGTGACATACCCAGGTATCGGTATGTTTCAGCCTCAGAGAGAGTCCTTATATTAACGGGCGTAGATAAGTCTATGCCCTCTGTATTAGCGACCCTACCCCTTTCAACATGGAGGACCGCACACTTATCCGTCCCAAGCTCCATTTTGATAGAATTGCTGAAATCACAAGTGACTTTAAGCAATTCCATCAAATGGGAGCGATTGGAGGCGAATAATTTGAGGTCATCCATGTAGAAAAGGTGGGTCACTTTTGTCCCTCCTCTCCGAAGCTGAAAACCTCCCCCCGAGCCCTCCAGTAATACGCTGAGAGGATTCAGAGAGAGGCAAAATATTGGGCTCAAACAGTCACCCTGGAAAATACCCCGTCGTATCCTTATCCGGTATTCCGTAGCCGTCATCCGCTCGCCTAGATGACAAAGGATCGTACTCCATTGCCCCATACAGTGCTCGAGGAAGTCTCTTACTGTACAGTCTACTTTATACAGTTCGAGGACCCTCTTTAGCCATGTATGGGGCACCGAGTCGACGGTTGCGTTTAACCGTTTTGCCAATGACCGCATCGATGAGAAGCGGTTCCTTGGTTCCACGACCACCGCCCCGACATCCATTCTGAGCATGAGACATAATCCGATTCATATGAATATGCTCAGAATAGATGTCAGTATGCGGTGATTCTCATGCTCAGAATAGATGTCAGTGTCTTATAGATGGTGGGTAGACACGTAATGGGGCGGTACTTACTCGGGTCTGTGGTAACTTGATCTTTAGGAACCAAATGAGTGACCCCAGTGGTAAAGAGGCTCGGGAGCGACCTCTGATCGAGAGCTTCTTGGAACTGTCGGGCGAGCACAGCATGACACACCACGAACCCCTTCAGCCAGTAGTGATGCAGCCCGTCGAGTCCCGGACTTTTCCAGTTCGGGGCTCTACGGACTGCCTCAGATACGTCGTCTGGTGTTATGACAACGGGGTCCATGGGTGTAATATCTGCACATTGGCTCACCACGACTTGCGTCCAAGGGCCCTCACTGTGGTCTACGGGCTCTCACCACAGGCTGCGCCAGAAGGCGGCAACGTCAGCCTGGTCCGGTCCTTGGCCCGTTCCACAACTCACTGGTCGCTCCAAAGATTTTTAGAGTCTCTTTTGGTCACTCTGGAAAAGGCGATTCTGGCTAAACCGCGCCGTCCTCTCGGTATATCTCCGAATCCGCTTCCCCCAAGCAGCGATCCTCTGCTTCAGGTCATCTATGCGCTCCGTTAGTTTTTGCGTAATATCCGGCTGGGACAAGTTGATATTGGTCCCAGCGAACGCCATCCTAACGGTGCGCACAATTCTGGGCCTATTATTGCCCGACCTGAAGCTTATCAGCCTGCCGATCTTGGCCCTCACCTTTGCGATACGGTCCTCAATTCTTCTTCTCCATTCTGGGATAGTGCTACCTGGTCTGGTAGCACGTCCAGTCTTGGGAAGTTTGGCGCCCACGATTCGGCATACTGCCAGTGCAGCGCCAAAGAGAATTGAGTCCGTATCGCAAAGATCCCGGCTAGCTTCCAAATGGGTTGCCAGCATCGGGTTAAGAGACCTCACGACAGACCGACTCCGCTTACTTAGGGGTATGCGGGGGAGACGTGGTCGATTCTCGAGAGGCGTTTCGCGCACCTCCAGAAGTTGCCTCCTCCAATATGCTTCCCATCTGCTCTATTTCTTGGGCGACTATTCCATCATCGCACGAATCTATAGGAGCCGGGGGGATAAACGCGGCCTCCGCATCTGCTTGTAACCCTGCAGGGTCCGCAGCTTGCGGGACCGCATCCCCAGCCACTACATTTTCATCCGATGAGGGAACAGCCTCACGTCGTAGTCGTTCGAGCTCGGTATCATCAAATATTTTTGAGCGCATGATGTTCCGAACTCGGTCTGCCAGGTTATGCTCGGTGACGGTTATAGATGGCTCCAGCTCAGCAAAAAAGCGATGCATCCTTGCCCGATACGCAAACCCTCCAGTCTCACTCCCTTTCGCCCTAAAATACGCCCGCATTGCGTTCTGATTCATATTAGGCGTCCAGCGCAAGCGGCGTATTCCACCAGGGGCGGGTGCCGATTGCTGGATCCGAGAGGACCCTGCCGACACCAAGCCAAATGGTGGGGATGATGGATGCAAGGTACTGCTTGGTGATCGTGCAGTACCCCGCGCTCGGCTGGCGTCCCGCAGCTGTCACGTCCAGCGCCAGCTCCAGACGCGCCCTGGCGGCCCCCAGGCAGCGGCCCCATACGCTTTCCTCTTTTGTCCATCATCCATTTTAGGGCGTTGTTTAACGGAAGACGCCCCCAGACCGGCACCGTTTTCTGTAGTGTGGCCAAACGCACAAACGGGCCTATGCACCATCACTTATGCCGAGGCACGGTGCAAACACCTATGACATAATTATTATTATGTTTTTAAGGAATTTAAACGAATTTAAAATATGTTATTTATTTATTAAAAACTTTATACACAGAAAAAATCTTTGTACAAAGGCGGACTTAATGTCAAAGGCATTTTTCTGTCAGTCCATGTAAAGAATTCCTTATTTTTTATAAAGTGGATGTTACATTTGATAAGGAATTGATTAAAAGTTTTCTTTGACCTACGAAACACGAATACACAAATACAGAATGCTCTTACGTAATGACATATGCAAAGGAATTCAATTCTATTATACACTCCACCACCGGCTTAATACCTTTGATATTTTATTAGGACAGACAGAAGCCATATCAGTTAAAGAACACGCGAAACGCACCAAACATCTTTCACACTGGGTATAAAAAGCTAGTAGAACGAGAACGAGTAGTTTAAAATAAAACTAGGACATAATATTTACGCAAAAGGCACAAATAAAACATTAAGTTAATAAAAGCCCCGTTTTCAGAAATCTTTATAGTAAAGTAAAGTAACCCAGTCCATATTTATGCCCTATTGTTGGAGAAAGGCCTCCTTTGCACAGAGGGTATTAGGGTGTAGTCGACCACCGTCCCGTATTGGCAGACTTCATATATCTTCGAATTTTTTTTTATCGGAAATACAATACAACCTGTATTCTTGAGTCCTCAAGATGTTTTATTTCACTTTGGACGTGATATAAAAAGGTTTAGTTTCGTATAATATTAGTAGGAACATTTAACCCATAAATATCCCTACTAATATTACAAACGTGAATGTAAGTTGGTTTTTAACACTTTCACGCCAAAACTACTCAACCGATGATAATGATACTTTTGTATATATTCTTAGAGGTATTAAAAAGGACAAACGGCTAAATCTAAAAAAAGACATGATTTCTGTAATGTACTTTCATTTCATAATAATAAAATTTTACAAGTTACCGCGACGGCGGGCGTTACGAAACACAACTACCAGGGAAGGAACACTCTATTGTATTTAAGAGCAGAATATTTATTTAAAATAGTAACGGGTATTTTAGTTACATTCGAATTTAAATATAAATCCAAAATAGAAGATTCTTATAAATTGTGAATAAAACTGCACTGATGAAGTTCATCTCGTCCAGAAAAACAAAATCCACCTACCTATCTTTTTTTAAAAAGGTATGCATGCTCCTTCTTGGATGATGAAGAATATCTTTCGGGATTTGTCTCAGATTAAATATAAAATAATCCACATGGCATAGTACTGGATCATTCGACAAAGTTTAGGGAAATTCCTTGTAATCATTTATCGATTGGCGGCATGTTTAGTCGAATATATTTCAGCAATTCACAGCTATTACTCACAGATCAGGTGACGGGTTTTTGCGTCAGAGAAAACTTAATGTCTGCGTTTTTCTTTACAACTTTCAAGTCAAGTACTCGTACATGTAGAAAAAAATGTTCGTACATAGAACTCCTATGTATCTTTGTGTTTTTCTATTAAAACTTGTTTATACGGCGTGTAGTTACAACCGCGACAATGAACACACATATAGAGGATAATTTTTTAAAATTGTATTAAACATTTACATTCTTTAAACATCCATATTTAGCGAGTTATTAAATTTAACAAACAAACATTTTTAGAACACCCTTACTTTAAAACTGTAACGTAAAGTTCATTTATAAAACCACAAAGCATATGAATGTGTTGAATGAATTTAAAAGAGATAAAACACTGTTAGTAGAGGAGAAATGTAATGCGAAGTTGAGGCAACGAATGAAAATGTCTTTGAATGTATGAATCAGTCAGTTTTAGTTGTATAGGATGTTACAAATTTTGTTTCTTTTTTATTTAATTAGTTTGTTTGAAAATTTTTCATTTACGTATTTTTTTATTATGTTTTTTTTAACGTTTTAAATTTTTTATGATTATTAAGTAGCTTTAGACGTTTGTTCATTTATTGTCGCGGTTGTAACGACACGCTGTATATTAACATAAAGAATAGGTACCTATTCTAAAAATTATTTTTGTAATGGTAGAGTGCTATTATCAGGACAGATTGCCTGCTAATAACCAAAATGCTAATGCTAATAAATGTTAATGAACTAATGACATATATGAAGTAATAACATAAACTATTTAAGTATTTTATCATTATAATAAGAGTAGCAAAAATATTTAAATTTGTTACATAACAAATATTAAGCTTTCGCCACATAGAAGTTATACATAACATTACCATGATTTTATTAAAATAAGAAGAATAAATTGATAATAAAGCTGTTTATGATTAAGTTGTAGTACTTATTTGAATTTGGTATGGACGGTGGACTAAACCTATATTATGGGGTGTTGACGTCAACGATTTATATAAAATACAGCAACAGAGCAGCCGTTTTAGAAGTAACTGCATGGCTTCACTATAGTATAAGACCATATGAATATATGATAACATTGTCTTTGTATAAAGCGATTTATTTTCTTATTCATTTTATTTATTCACCTATTTTAGGTTGACCGGTAGAAAATACCTTTGGCATTAAATCCGTCTTTGTGCAATTTCTTTCTTTGAAAATAAGTTTCATAACTAAAGATTACAATATATTTATATATATACATCGACACTAAGGTGGTATGACGCATATTTAAAAGTCAAATATATCTCATATCATAAAGTTTTTTACTGTTACTCTCACAGTATTTCTTAGATTATGTTAATAAACCGGTGGTTGTAAAATGGTAATGGTTGTAAAGTACATAAATATTCTGAAGCCGTGGCCTAACGTTGTCTATGTTTGAGCTTCTCGCCTGGTGCATATGTCGTCAAAATTTAAAGCGGTTTCTAATTTGCTTGTTTCGCAATACTCGAAAACAACTTTGCATTTATTTTTACGAGTTTTCCGGCGGTATGCCTGGTTTCATTGGTGGCGGTGATCACTGTACATATTTACATTTATATTCGTTAGGTGCCCGTTTTCCACATTCTCCGTACTACGTTACTCCCCTACCTTTTATAATTTAAGGAGATACCAGAACAACGTACAATTTTAAATATGTATTTATAAGTCATAAAAATAATTGATAAATATGTTATAACTATATAACTTAAATTAATTTAAAAGTCAAGTTATATTTAAACAAAGTCAAGTCAAAGTCAAATATCTTTATTCAATATAGAAGCATTCACTTACTTATTGATAGTCAAAAAAACTCTACCACCGGTTCGGAAGGTAAGCCACTGACCTGAGAAGAACCGGCGTAAGAAACTCAGCGGGACATTATTTTTTTTTTACTTGCCAAAAAAATTACAAATATGTGTACAATTATTAAACTCCTATTAAACTCCACTTGAAAGAGCCTGGAGCGATCAATTCATTCCAGAGTGTGTTATCATTCATATAATCACTAATACTATAATAGCCATTAACACACAAACGTTCCTTTACAAGTTTTTTGAATTTAGCAACGGATTCATTTTGAACGTTTTTCTGGGATTTTGTTGTAAAAGCGTATACATTGTCCCATAAAAGATTTACTTATTCTACGCAATCTAGTTAGGGTAGAACTAATTTATGCTTGTTCCTAGTATTTACATCATGCACATTACTAAATTTTGAAAAGTCATTCTTATTTTTGTGGACATACATAACATTAGCAAGTATGTACTGAGAAGCTACAGTCAATATTTTTATTTCTTTAAACAGGTTTCTTAGTGAGTCTTTGGGGCCCAGGTTATAAACCGCTCGAATAAACTTCAGCACAACTGCGAGATATTGATTTAAAATATAAAATACTAGGCGTTTATACTATATTTTATTATATGTTTTATTACTTGTCTTTCGCCATCAATTGCCAGTGCTAAAAAATAGGTATAAAGTAAATGTTTTTGGGAATTACACATGTACATACAAACATAGTTAGGTATCATAATTATTATATAAAAACGTTCAAAAATCGCATTAAACAGTAATAATTAAATAGTTATAATAATAAAATGGTACCAGAAATACGTAAGTACAGTTGTTATAAAAATGACACTTTACACATTATTTAGTAAGAAACCCTGATTTGAATCAATTTTTGATGTTTGCGAGTATACTAATTAAGAACATACTTTAAAAAGTAAATGTTATACAAATTTTAATTAATGATACTTATTTAAATGTAGTCTAAAATCAATCGCCGCATAAGCCTATTGTTTTCCTAGATACTCAAGGGCCGATTGTACAGCTTTTGCCACGCATAGAAGCTTGTAACGTATCATAATATAATTTTATACGTATTAACTAGTTCAATAACAGTTATGGGCCAAAGATCTACAATAAATTTTAAGTTGTCTTCGTTATGGTTAAGGTTTTATGACG